AAATTAACAAGCAACATTTAAATATTAATCTGCATCAATAAATGACCCCTTCATATATCCACACGCGTATGGTTTTTGGGTATCATGGTCCTCTATATGAATGGTCAAGTTCAATTTCATCTAAAATATTAAAAATAAATTATTGGCAATGTTATTTTCATTACTTATATTAGCTCACAGATGGCGTTAGTAATCCAACAAATATGCGGTATTTTAATAAAAACGTATCGTTCAAGGTCAAATTTTTTTTCATAGTCTTGGAGTCTATAACATTTGTATTGTTTGTATCAAATATACCACGGTGAGCGATCATTTCAGGTATGTCGTATGATAAAGTAGGTTTCTCCAATATGTTTTCAATAGTCAGTCTTATATCAGCCTGGTTAGCGTCTTTGTCTATTTATAATAATTAAAATTTGCCCAATGAATAGTGTAATAATGTTCAAAATAAATTAATATTAACTATTATAAAACATATAATTTTTACAAAGATTGTTGTAATTAATATGTCCAAATGCTAATTTATTATAATTAAAATTAAAGTATGATATTAATTCAGAATTTACAAAAAGTGTATTTCAATTAGTCAAAAATATGAGTTTACAATAATGTTTCTCATATGATATGTCATATCATAGTTTGAAATAACCTTTTTGAAAATTGAAAACAGGACTTGTAAAATTAATAAAATTCAGTTCAAATTACTAGGCTTAAATAGTATGTCGAATCTAGTGTAATTGTTCTTGTGAATATCGCATGATTTGCCCTCGCATATAGGCATGTATGCATCATTGTGAGCCATACTAGATGTGAATACATTCTCGAGGTACATGTCCTCTAGTATTTTGACATGGTCTTCTAATTTAGGCACAGCTAAGCATGGTGATAAATTATAATTTTAAAAATATAAGTAACATGTAATTATAAAGTAGCAATATTACAGACCACAATCATACAAGGACACCTTGGTGAGTACTTCATAATAATGAACAGTTAAAATAATCAATATTAACAAGCAAGGTTTATTATGCATAATTTACTTTTTATTTCACAACTGTAATGAATAAATAAATTATATTAAAAGTTTAATGTTACAGTTTAATAACAAATGTTATGTTACAATACTTATTGGTAATAGGATTTAATTTTTATGTAGTGTTTAATGTTTTANTAATTTACTTTTTATTTCACAACTGTAATGAATAAATAAATTATATTAAAAGTTTAATGTTACAGTTTAATAACAAATGTTATGTTACAATACTTATTGGTAATAGGATTTAATTTTTATGTAGTGTTTAATGTTTTAGAAATTTTTTTATTTGATCAAGCATTATCGTTGTTTGATTACAGATAAAATAACATTGAAACTATAATCCATTTGTGGGAATTCAACTTGATATGATTAACATTACGAGTATCAGGTGCATTTTTTAGATAATCCAACTTAACGTTAAGCAGTATTTCATGTTATTTGTTAAGAAATAATTCCGTTGTATTAGTTATTAATAGCAATTATCTATAATTATATGATTAACATTACGAGTATCAGGTGCATTTTTTAGATAATCCAACTTAACTTTAAGCAGTATTTCATTTTATTTGTTAAGAAATAATTCCGTTGTATTAGTTATTAATAGCAATTATCTATAATTGAAATAGGGTTATTTTATAAGAAAATGTCAAAAATAATTTCTTATAAAATATTTTTATGTATTACACAAACTTGGGAAATGTAAATGTCAATATAATCAATGTAGTTTGTTTTGGCGTACTGTATAAAATAAATTATGTTATTTGACAAATAGACCTAATTAAATTTATTCTAACATGCTATTTTATTAAATACATAATTGTATGTTGCAAACAAAATAATAATTTAATTAGTTAATAATAGTGACATTATTGTGTAATATTGCATTAATTTGTTTTATAGAAATAGTTTTTATAAATAAAGTATTTTATAATGCTTTAAGGTTATTATTTTATAAATATCTAGGTTGTTAAGTGATTTATATTACAGTATTTTTACTATTATAACTATAGATATGGGTCTTACTACAATGCTTATCGTGTTAACATTATTGTGTTTTATAAATCACATTGATAACTTTATTATTGATAGAGATTGTAACTTTATCTACAGTAAATTGACAGGTATTATATAATTTTTATATACTCCTAATTAAATTGTTATAATGTATTTTTAAATTAGGCAATTGTAACCCTGTTAACGTGAATGATAGTTATGATCGCTATGTTGGGACCGATATTAACCATTTGTTTGTTAGGTTATTGAGATATAAAAAGAATCGCAAACACCGTCTCTCTGGTATATTAACTAAATGATTAACAAGTACATAATTACTAAGTTGATTAATAAATCATTTAAGTTAATTTTAATGTTTAAATTACATAATATAACAATTATTATATTAGCAATTTAATTTCAAAACTCAGTATTTTGAATTGTTAAAAATGTAGTCTTAAATGTAAGTTACTGTATGAAATAGTTTTAATATATTAAGATATATAAATATAAAATTATATAATAGTTATAATATTACACTACTACATGTACTATTTTAAATTATTGTAATTTATTATTTATTTAACTAAATACTTAATTGTACTAGATATTTACTCTATAATAATAATTTATTTGTCATTTAAATATATTTTGTGTTGTGTTTGAAATATAACCGTCACGTTGCAATATAAATTTTACTAATTGTCAATGTCAATTTGAAAACTGAATTTAAACTACTTGAACAAATAAACTTTTTAAAAAAATTTTGTGTTTATATTAAACAAGTATTTAAAATGTAAAATATCTTTTATATACAAACCATTTAATTTGCATAATTATAATTACTAAATAATTTATTTACAAATATAATTTATTTCTATTAAAAAGATTATTGATTTAATATTTCTAATGGCAATCAAAAGTAAATGAATTGCATTTATATTTGAATGCTTTAATAAATATAATTATCGTAACTATTAATTGCAATGTTATTCATTATTAATTTTAAGAATTATGAAAATGCATTTTTAAATTAACAAAATACACTAAAATAACCCCAAAATAATTTCACATAAATAACTCAAACCATATGTAATATAAATAAAATAATAATTGAGTAAAACGTAACATATTTTCATTTCGTAGACAACTTTCGTTGAGAGCTGTAAACAGAGTCTTAAAAATGAAATCATTTCACACTCTGATTATAAGCGTGGCTATTATGCTGTGCTCATACATCGTGACCGATACTATGGCTATACTTGGTGAATTTGGTTTTAAACTAAAAATATTTGAAGAGGCTACACGTCCCCATGACATATGCTATACTTTCCGCAACCTCTCCAATGAGGACCATATACCGGGTGAGGAGATCGAGTGCACGAGTTATAAGCAATGTCCAGATCATTTTGATTGCAACTATTATACTTGTCATTGTTTCGATGTCAAGGGCCGTTCGCGCGACCCTGGTCCGCCCATTGTTGATCATGGTGAGCCGATTAAAGTTAAAAATGATTATCGTGATTCTGGTCAGCCCATTGTTGATTGTCGTCCACCGCCGTCTATTGTTAACAATGACCAGTGCATTATATATCGCGATGAGTCCAATGCAAACCGTATACCGGGTGAGGATATAAAGTGCCTGGATATTAGTCAATGTCCACCAAGTTTCGGCTGTAACCTTAAAATTGGTCATTGCTATCATAATTGCCATTTTTTGCATTAAAAGTAGTAAAACATAACTACGATATTAAAATCAAAAGTGTTTTAAATTACATAAATGCAAAATAAAATTTTTTTAATGAATTAAATAATTTGTGTTGAATTAAATTTTTTTATTAAAAATGTATTTAATTTAAAATAAAAAAAATTTATAAACGGAATGGTTGTTTAGGTGTTTAAAAGTTGCAAGTAATTATAAATTGAATTTTTTTTACTTTATAATATAAACATTTATTAATTAACTATAATTATGTGGTTTAATTTATTTTTATTATATAGGCAATGTTATACTATGTTGATAAATTTATAATAATAAACTATTTATTTAGTAAATTATTTTTTATTTAATTAACAACAACACTTTTATTTATATGAGAAAATATTATTTAAGTTTTCATTTTAATTCATAAATTATTTTACACAATCATTAATACACTATTATTATTGATTAATAAACATTCAGAATAATATTTAAAATATTTTTGGTTCTATAATTTAATTAACTATTTAAATATTTTAACAATGATAAAACATTTAATATATTTTTATACAAGATGTAAACTTATTATAGCATTTAACTGGCTAAACTATTTCTAATATGATTGTAAAAATTATTTGGTTATTTATATAATATATTTTGTTAGAATTATAATTATTAAATCAACAAGCAACATTTAAATATTAATCTGCATCAATAAATGACCCCTTCATATATCCACACGCGTATGGTTTTTGGGTATCATGGTCCTCTATATGAATGGTCAAGTTCATTTTCATCTAAATTATTACAAATGAATTATTAACAATATCATTTTCTTTACTTATATTTACTCACAGATGGCGTAAGTAATCCAACAAATATGCGGTATTTTAATACAAACGTTTCGTTCGCGGTCAATTTTGGTTTCATACTTTTAGATTGTATAACATTAGTATTGTTTTTATCAAATATAGCATGGTGAGCGTTCATTTCAGGTATGTCGTACGATAAAGGAGGTTGCTCCAATATGTTTTCAATAGTTAGTCTGATATCAGCCTGGGTAGCATTTCTGTCTATTTATAATAATTAAAATTGTCTATTAAATAGTATAATAATGTTCAAAATAAATTAATATTCAAAAATATGAGTTTACAATAATGTTTCTCATATGATATTTCATATCATAGTTTGAAATAACCTTTGTGAAAATTGCAAACAGGACTTTTTGTAAAAGTAATAAAACTCAGTTCAAATTACCGGGCTTAAATACTAGATCGAATAAAGTGTAATTGTTCTTGTGAATATCGCATGATTTGCCCTCACACATACGCGTGTAATTATCCGGGTAAGCAATACTAGATGTGGACACATCCTCGAGATACATGTCCACTAGTATTTTGTCTTTGTCTTCATATTTAGAAATACCTAAGCATGGTGATAAATTATAATTTTAAAAATATAAATAACATATTGTAATTATGATGTAGCAATTTTACAGACCACAATCATACAAGGACACCTTGGTGAGTACTTCATAATATTGTACAATTAAAATGATCAATATTAATAAGCAATGTTTATTAAGCATAATTTGCTTTGTAATTTACAACTGTAGTAAATAAATAAAGTATATATCAAAGTTTTAATGTAACAGTTTAATAACAAATATTATATATGTTACAATACTTACTGGCAATACGGTTTAATTTTTATGTAGTATTAATGTTTTGTAAATTTTTTTTGGATCAAGTATTATATTTATAGTTATTTGATTATAGATAAAATCAGGGGGCACAAAGTGATTCTAGTATTCGCTTTATATTCCTACGGAAAAGCGTATAAAAATACATTTAATAAACAAGTACAGTACATTGGGGGACATTGTATCTGTATATTATTTATCAAAAATCAATAGATTATATAAACTTAATAAATAAATGGTACAAACAATGCTTTATTATCATATGTGATTCATACTTATTATTAACATTAAACAATTGTTATA